CTAAGACCGATCCCGGGGATCTGGATGACAGATTGGCTCATGAGCTCAGGGTATATAGATTTGTACTACTATGTATTTACTAGATGTACTAGCAAGTCAACTAGGGTGCGAAAGGGAAAATACATACTCTGATTGAGTCCCCTGTAGGTCCCCAGCACTAGCAGAAGGAATGATCTAGTAGTGTCTGATAGATTTTCAAGTCGAGAGAGTATCGGACCCTGATACGCGGGCATTGCAGAATGAGAAACAAAGAGTACTGTCCCCTCGGGTCATGTATACCATCGACAAGGAGACTTCTCTCGCAGCCACCTTCACTTTTACGTACACACCGTCTTTATGGAATATACAGTAGCCCGTAGTGGAATTAAGCGGGCCATTTCATGTTCTTTTCTTTTTCCCAGCAGCCTGTTCCAGGGTCTGGGGCCAATCTCGGCAATGAGTATTTTACTTCAATTTGCCGCCAACCTAACAAACCTAGACGGCACATCAGGCAGGAGAATTCCTGCATGGGGCTTTTTTCTGTCGCTATTTAATCATCGGTGGCGATGATTATGATGAAATGGGAAGGTCTTAAAAGATCAGAAACGGCCAGCACAACGCCTCTTCACAAGATAACGGTTGGCCTCGGTAGAGCGACGCAAGTCGTTTTCGTCCTATTTGCCTCCCTACGATTAGCACTTCCAAGAAAGGAATACCCATCGAAAATCATCGTGATGGCCTAATATGTACATGTACCTGTCCGACTTACTTCCACCCGTTTTAAAAAAAGAAAAGGGAAAAAAAGCTGAGGCACCTCGGTGGCATCTGCTCCTGAACGTGGGGATCCACTCAGTGTAATCTTAAACCAGCGATCCTCTGATCCCCCCTAGTCTGATTAGCTAGAGAAAGAGGTCAAGGGTTCAGCCACGAGAAACGTGAGTAGTTGACCACCAGTCCAGGCATGGAGAAAAAAAGCAAAAAAAAGGAATCCCACGAGAAGAACCAAGGAGGTACCAGATAATTTCTCGAGGGCGTTCAAGATCGGCAAGGTGTGTTTTGCCTCGTCAGAGCTTCCCATGCATCTTGCATGTCAATTTTCCTCATGGCTACGTCTGTGGAAGGGAGGCTCATTAGTTCCACAGCCAATAGCGTCTGCAGCGACCATGAAGCTGGCCTCCTACTGGCTTTAGCCATGCTGCGAGCATCGCAGCCCTGCAAATGACCCTCCTCAACTGGAAAGAATCAACGCCATGCACCTCAGCCATTAGCGTAATCAGGCATTTCTGCGGCGTGGCGTTCTCGCTGGCGCTAGCAGATCACCTAAAGGGCCACGGGCAACACGCGACGAGTGGAGACCCTTTTGCCTTGCACTGCCATCATTTGGCCCCCTCCTAATCGAAAGGGGGGGTCTTTCTTTCTTTCTGTTAACTTTCCTGGCGTGTCTCTTTCGTTTTGCCTTTTTCAAAAAAAAACATTTAAAAATTCCAGAGATATCTTTTTCGGTGGCTTCTAGGAGTATCCGTACGGCAGGCTTCCCGGTCAACGGGAGCGTTTCCTGCGGCGGATCCGTTAGCAATCCACATTTCAAGCTCAAGGTGATTTCAAATGACTGCCAACACGCGTCGTGAATACCTATAGGAGATAGAAACACAGCCACCAATTTTCATTTGACCCCCCCCCCCTCATTCATACTCGTAGGAAGCTTGAGCTTTGAGTCATGTAATACGGGGGGTTGAGCTTACGCTAAGTCAATCGGCGAAAATACTAAATAATCAAAACAAATCTATCCGTAATTCGTACGCCCTAACTACTATCAGTTATCAAACCTACATACTAGTAGTAAGGGTCGTTCCTGATAGTTCACTAGCAAGCGACTGACCGCTGGGATTCCAGAGCTGAGGAACTCCCTCATCTCATCGCCAAGATTCCAGTCATCGGGCATATGACGAGGTCGATATCTGACAGTGTCAAATTCCCCCAAATTAGCATGAAGGGATGAAGTATCCGGAACAAGGATGAGGTAGGGATGGTGTGTTTATTGTTATTTTTACTTTTTGTCAGCGGGTCCAAGCTGGGATCCTTTTTTCTCTCTCTCCTTGTTAATGACATAACAAGACGTGCCCTTCGTTTTCTCGGAGGTTCAGGGTTGTGTGCCTCACATTCCTTGTCACGCGTCGGGATATTGTGATGGAAGTTGCATATTCGCCAAAAGGTTGGCGGTACACAGCTTGGCGTTCATACTAGTAGTCGCCATTTACCCCGCATTTTGGAATGGGCTTACGAATGATGCAATCCGTGAGTTAGCACCAAGCTGTTGGGTTTCTACCTACGTGAGATACGTGAGATACGTGAGATACGTGAGATCGAGAGGCGCAAACTATAAAAAATAAATTAAAAAGTGAAAAGTAAAAATTGAAAAAAAAGCAGAAGGAAAGAACTGGAAAGATAGTGAGATAGTAAGATAGGAAGAAACGAAGAAACGAAACCGAAAAGAAAAATACATGAAGATCCCCTCTTCTGAGGAAATCTGTTAACTCCAGAAGGTTGAACTATGATTAGCCCGAGCTTTACTTCTCTTCCCTCTGTTGTTTGTCTTTGAGTGGAGTACGACCGTGCACTGTATAACCGCCAATGCTTAACTTCCAGGCCCCTCTGAACCCATGTGAAACTAGATTAGATTTCGAGAAAGGAAAACAACAACCACAGATGACCAGAGAGTGATGGGGGCTAAAGGTTGTTGGTCGCTTACGAAGGGGCGACAACATAAGGAGATACGATACGGGGCAGAAGAGTCATCCGAAAGAAGAGTATGTATCGAATTCTAGGCGACATCATTGGCAAAAAGCATAATGTAATCTCCAGATGGCGTTTTTTCACTTTGCAGATGATTACTCAAAGCGCGCACAAGCACTCGGTTTTCGCTGTTCTTGTTGACAAAGCATCAGCCAACGAGAATGGACGCAATCTATATCATCTCGTATATGACTGGCGCATCACACGTCCAGCTGTTCAGGGCGATCATTTCACCTATTCTACTTCCCGCGGGTGCGTCGTTCGTGTGTCTTGTCCTGCCGGGGTTAAATTCCGACCACTGCGACATCAACGATACTCGATCTCTCTATCTATTCTCTACACGTCCAAAGTGTCGGTCAGGGGCAGGTCAGCCAGCCGGTGCAGAACTCTCACCATGAACCTGCTTATGGCTATTCTCAGTCAACAACCTTCCCGGTAAGTCTCCGAATGTCCATGTTCAGCATTGTGGTCATTGGGGCTGAAAAGAACGCAAGCCACCACTTGCCGTTTCGGCGCGGTTCCTTCCCAATGCAAATGCAAATCCCCTACGTGATATAGCGCATTCGATTGACTATCATCGCTATAAAACCCGACTTTGAGGAGAAAGGATGAGGGGGTTCTGGAAAAACAAAATACCACTCACAACACCATCATCATCATCATCAACAACAACAACAAATCGCCTCCCATCTCCTTATTACAATTCAAAATACTCCATTTACCTAACCCCCCGAATCCACCACAGTTGTATCAATACTGCCTATCGGGGACAACGCCACATGCGATGCTGATACGCTCACCTCCTTACCGATGAACCCCGTGTTTAGCGCAACAGTAGTCATCTCCGGAATCTGACTCTCACCGACAAGGATAGGGACGGAATTTTGGGACAGAATGGCGACCTCAAAATTTAGAATACGGGAATTTTTATCCCTAGGGAAGTATTATCTTGTCATCTCCCCTTTTCTTTTCTTTTTGGCTAACCCGAAGCCGGCGCGGCGGTGGGGGGCAGCCAAGACGAGACTCCATCCTGGCCAGGGCTGACACCCTTGGCGCGCGGTGGTTCTCACATCCCTGCGCAGTCATCTGATTCCTTTCGGGCCATGTCCCCGAGGGCAGTAGTAGCACTAGAAAAGTATCGGAAAAGGGACTGTGATTGTGACCGTGACGTCGTCGTGGGTAAAGCAAGAGTGTTCCCTGCGCGGCTCGGCCGTCGGGTAGGAGAATTATCATGCATGCCCGCGGTTTCACGAAGAAAAGGAGGGGTTGGAAAAAGAAGAATCGGGTTGAACTCGACGCAGTAGCCGACCCCCTCCCTTGTTGGGCTGTGGGTTCAAACAAGTACCATTCGGCAACGGGTGGCTTTTTCCACGATGTAGGATTGTATATCCATACTGCGTAGGCATATTTGTGGGGCCATCTATATGTAGTTCGGACAATAAGACAATAGTCTCGTCTCAACTATACCACATACCTTAGGTAGGTACTCCAATAAAAACATCACTCTGTACAGAAAAGGTAGTACCCTAGGGGAAATAAGTCACCTTCCTGGATTGCTGCAGGTAACCCGTACTTTTCCCTCGGGATCGTTGCCGACGAAAGGTGATGCGAAATAGCGCCGGAGCTTTCAAATGGGGCCTGTGTTGCCATGCTGGTTCTGCGAGCTGTCTCAATTCATGACTCTGCTGAGCCCCTGGTCGACTGTCATGAACAGTTGCAATTGTAGGCTGAGGAGGCGTTATTCTGGACCGGAGCATAGTGCTCCAGGATTTGATTATTCCACGCCTATGCCACAAAAATATGTCGCTTGCCTGATGGTGAGTGTGTACATCTCCCACCCTGAGAAGTACTTGGACTGGGATCTTGTCCGTATCCTCGCTTGAAATGGGAGCCATTCACAATTGAAACCCCACAGCGCCACATCCACCCGATGCATTTACGATGGCAGGCTATGGACACGCCATGTCGTATCCCACGGCGTGGCAAACGGCATAGAAACTGAATTCGGATGAGAAGCTGCGCAAGCCACGCCCGAAAGAAAATGAATCCGGTTGGTTCTTTTGATTCCTTGTCATTCTTCTTGCTACCATGAAACTTATGCATTCTATTCACAATGATTATCCAAACATGCGGTTCCATTTATGTATCCCCCAGGGCCAGATGACGAGGCAAGAGAGGGTGAAAATTGCAGGGAAGAAAAAAAGGGCTAACTTGACCGACACTGGAACCTACCAGCTCGTCAACCCGCGCTGGCGATCAAACCCAGCCCTCAGTTGAGATTCAGGTTTGAGGACTTTACCTTGCAGGACAGTATACCGAATGATGTTTTCACACTCCTCTGGCCGCACTCGTGCCAACCAAATGCCTTGAGAAGCACCTTCTTCTTCATCTGCAGCGCGTGTCTCCTCGCGCTTGTACCAATCAAAGTCCCTGCGACGGTACACGATCACATTGGCCGAATACTTGTGCCCGCCAACATGGCTAATAAAATATATGCCCACGCCGCCAGGTCGCTGATCATCCATGTCACGGTACAGGCCCAACGGCCGCAGATGCCGCTCGAATTCCTTGCGCAGCAGGGGTGCGGACTGGCCGCAACGTGCGTCACGGGTACGCTGCGAGCAGAGAAGAATTACAGCAGCATGAGGGCAAGGGTGAGATGTGAGAGGGGTTGATGCAATGGATGTATTGGAGGGGTGCGGCAGCTGCTGCTCCTGCTGCTCCAGTTGCTCCAGTTGCTCCAGGTCTGGAGAGTCCACTCCATTCTCGCTCTTCCTTTCTGGAGGAATGCTGCCGAGTGGTGTGGTTGTTGTTGGAGAATTGTTGATAAAGTTTGCAATCAGATCGGGTGCCAGCTGTGGAGTTACATTTTCCACGATGGTGAAGCTGGGTAGCAGGAGCACATTTGTTGGTTGTTGCCCTGGTTCATGCATGTGGTATTCGTCTGGTACCGGCATATTTGAAGCGGATAGCTTCAATCTCTGAGCGAAATATCCCACGTTAGTTTGTTTGCTATCCAACGTGTTTGGGGGACAGGTAGCTTACCCCGTTGCTGGGCTCGACTCCTCCTTTCTCGATTGCTTCCATGATACTCCCTTTCTCATCTGCAACATCGCGCACCCAATCTGATTTGCCAGTAGCAACGAGCATGTGTGTCGCCCACCCATTCACATTCCCGTAAAGCTCATCCTCCAAGTCCACCTCAAATTTTGCGGGGTATTTCACGGTACAGCTTGAGCAGTCGTGGAGGCATTCTTCGCCATCGATAGATGCTTCGGGCTTTGTAAAAAGCTTATCGGATGCCGGTACAGACTGGAATCCTCCCGTAGCGAGTGCGCTATCCCCCACAGCGTCGGTGGTGATGTCGGTCTTAGAGGAGGCGAGTGAAACGTTGGACGAACTGAAGAGTGAGGAGGTACCTCGGCGGAAGAGATGCATTCTGACGGCCGAGAGAGACGCGCGCTGTCGGATCGGGAATGGTGATAATCGTTTCGAGTCAGGGGAAGAAGACGCGACCGAGAGAAGCCTTTTTCATTTCTAGTTTGGATGACGCGAGCGCAAAGTGATCTTATCAATCACTGTGCATTCCCGCTAAGTGTTCGGAATGTTGCCGCGTGACTAAGCCCCCACTCGGGGCCGATTGATATCGAGTGGCCTTCTATTCACTAATAATACATATGATCTGAATGGACTTCTTTTGTGGGGGAGAGTGGGCCTATCTACGGCCTGCGTAGTTGAAGCTATATGGCAGATCCCCCGGGTTTTGCGGCTGGGTCAGCCGAATCACACTTCCTCCTGAACTACCAGACTGGCCCGACTGTACACGCCGCAATGACTGGGTTGATGGTGTACGCAGTGGGCCCCTTCCAACACGGGCGCTGCTCACCGATGACATGCCCGAAGCGGGGCTTTGTACTGCTGGTGCAGTATCATAGCCTGACTGCGTGTCCCACGTCGACGCAATCGACGGGCGCAGACTATTGGTTCGCATCGGTGTAAATGTTCCATCATAATCGAAATTATCCACAGTATCCGTCTCTCCCTCCTCGTCAGAGGGTCCGATAACTGACTCAGTGTCCGTCCGGTGGTAGCTTGCGCTGTCTCGGATTTCCTCAATGGCAGGTTGTGCTGGGGCTCTCATTCTCCGCAGAATTTCCGCAAATAGGTGCATCAGTTCGCGGAATTCCGTCTCGTGTAACTGATGTGAAGAAAATCGTGCTCGCTCATAGAGCGCTAAGAATTCGGCTCCGATCTCGGGTGGATTGATCACTCCTAGAAATGTGAGATGGCCGATATATTGGCGTAAGCCCATAGAAACCGGTCGCTGAAGGACTTCCACCACGCGCATATCTGGTAAAGACTCCATTGCGACTTCGCTAGTCGGGTCAAAGGGATTGGGGTCATCATAGGGTATAATGTATCGGGAGGGGCGAGTGATACGGCTTTCGCCTCGATTAGGTTGGGTAGTTCTTGGACGACAGTCCGATATGGTAGATCGGGTAGGTCAGGCGAGGCGGGTGATGACCAGCCAGGGTGCTCAACACGACCCCATGGCGGGTGCTTGAGGTTGATCAGAAGCTCCTTGTGATTTTGAAAGCTCCCGAGTTCGTCTGAGGTATCGCGCGGGCGAGCCTGGTATGCCAGAACCACACTTTTGGCTATTCCATCCTTGACCATATGCCTCACACTCTTGCTCACGTCTTCCTTCTCGACAGGGATCCAAGCTTTCGGAATGCCCGCCAAGGTGCTGCGATTCGTATATATGCGTGTCGCATAAATGAGGACTGCAAGAAAGAATGTGATCACATAGGCACCGGTGATGAAAAAGATATTCGTGAGTCGACCGGTCTCGTAACACTGGTAGATGGCGTCGGCTGGGGTCAGGAGGATGAGACAGAAAAGGATAACAGCAAAGAAGAAAAATGCGCTCGAGTTAAAAAATGTCTCGAGTCCTGCAGTTGTCATGATGGTCCGCGCATACTGTGCAAAGAGCACGGCATCTGGTGGAAGACTCGAAGCTATCGAGGATGGTCAAGGGCGACCTTACCCTAGGGAGCTGCCACTGCCCGCGGAGATAAGTCAATCACGTGTTAGCGCAAGCATGGGATTACTGTAGTTAAGGTAGTATCACCAGGCATACAGTTAGGGTATATGCCATAAGGCAGTCAGTGCTTCTAAATCAATCTAAATTTCCTAATTTCTTGCATACCTTGTCCATAAATATGCCTCGACCTTGAATGAATTGCGGTGTCCTCGTTCTCAACCCACTCGTTGGTACCTGGACATCACATGACCCCCTATCTGCCAAAAGTGGCTGTCCCTGGATCGCCGAATAATTTCAAAAGTCAAGCAAGCCATGGGCGAATATATTCCTCTTCAGGAGGAGCGGGATCTCTATATTCTAGTAACAGGCGCAAACAGGTACGCCACTCCACATTGGCCAAGCAGTTCACGCCCTCCGCCGCATAGCCGTTTGTTTCAACGCTAATTGATCCTCCGCAGCGGCCTCGGCTTTTCGATATGCTGTCGCCTCGCAGACGAATTCCTTTCTTCGCATCCAGATGATGAGTCCCTTACGATCATCTTCACGACTCGCAGCGCCCGCAAAGCCCAAGACACCCGCCGCCAGCTAGAGCAGCACCTTCAATCCTCCAACCCCTCCCTCTCGGACTCTGCGCGCGTGAAATTCGTCTCTGAGAGTGTCGACCTGGGAGACCTCCTCTCTGTCCGCTCGCTCACCCGCAGACTTCTACAAAGCTTCCCGAAACTCGATGCGATTATTTTAAATGCTGGAATCGGTGGTTGGTCTGGCCTTGACTGGCCAGCTGCTATCTGGGGCGTCTGCACCGATCTCATCCACCAAACAACCTGGCCCAAGTACAAGCTCGCAGCGGTGGGCAAACTGACAAACAGGCAAACAAGGGAAGAGGAGGAGCCACAGCTGGGTAATACCTTCTGCTCCAACGTTTTTGGTCATTACATGCTGGCACATAACGTCGTGCCATTGCTGAGGCGAGCCAACTCGCCCAACGGGACGGGTCGAGTTGTTTGGGTCTCGAGCATTGAAGCGACGATCAAGTATTTTGACGCCAATGACATGCAAGGTCTCCGGACGTTGGCCCCTTACGAGTCCTCCAAGGCTCTGACCGATATCCTGGCTTTGACTTCCGATCTCCCTGGTACTGCCCCCTGGGCAGTGGATAGCTTCATGCGTTCAGATACCGAGCCAAAGGGAACCAATTCCAAAGCTTCTTTGAGCACTCCGACGATTCACGTCTCTCACCCCGGAATCTGTGCCACATCCATTGTTCCCCTCATCCTACCTCTTGCCTGGGCGATGGTAGCTGCATTCTTCGGTGCGCGCCTCTTGGGTTCCCCCTGGCACACTCTGGACACGTACCTCGGCGCCTGTTCTCCTGTTTTTCTTGCCTTGTCACGGCAGTCCGAGCTGGAGGATGCCGAGTCGCCTTATCGCCAAGGTGGGGGAGGAAGAGTAAAATGGGGCTCATCGGCCTCTCGCTGGGGCAAGGAAGGTGTCGCTTCAACTGAGACGGACGGTTGGGGGAATGGCGGGGTGGTGGGCGCTGCTGTGGTTGATGCTGATCGGACTCGGCGTCGAAAGCGCGGCATGGTTGATTTGACTCGGGAACAGAAGGAAAGCTTCGAGGATCTTGGGCGCCAATGCTGGAAACAAATGGAAGAGCTTAGGATCAAATGGGACGGAATCCTCGACAAGGCTGAGCAACGCGCGGCGGCTGAGAAGACACAATAGCCTTGAAATAGGCGCTAATTGGCTACGTGCAAGCTTATGGCTCTCTTTTTGGGCCACTGCCAGCTGGTGAAAACAACAATAATTTCATGTAACATACCTACAATTACCCTTTTCGGAAGGTGTACAAATCATTTTAATGCCGACACTATCCACGGATACCTATTGTTATCTCAACTACCTAGAATCAAATGAATTTGATCCTATATCCTTGAAACTCTGCCTCCAAATCATTTACATCAACAGAGCCGCACTATCCTTGATGATATTATTAAGTTCAGATGATGTGCTATTGGTTTCTATTTTCACTAGGATGACAGTGGAAACTTGGGAAATCGGAAAGCAAAAGGCCCGACATGCGCACGATTGGGGACGTAAAAATATTTTGGAATTTCGGGTCAAATAAGTGACTAAAATGTGATAATGTTGCAGAAAAAAAAGGAACCGAGTATCCACGCAGGTCTGCCATCTAGGCTTCGTGCCGCGGTGGCTTTGTCATGAACAGGATTAAAAGGTTTTCGCCAGCGCAAAGCGAAGGCGATAGACTGTGACGGGCGAGAAGCAGGAAAACAAGGACCGAAGAGGCTCGGGACAATAGAAGATAAGATCACGCAGAAAACGACTCCGGTTTCATGCATCAAGACGGGGGGAAGAGAGGTATCGGCAGGTGAGAGGGGATGTAAATTTGCGTAGCGACGTGAAAAAACAAGAAAAAAACAAGGAGTGAGAAAAGATTACATGATAATCGCAGGGACTGTCTCGGAGGTTAGCATTGGACTCGGGTCCTCTTATAGGCATGAATTGCATCAACTTACCATCAATGTTTTGCTTGATGCTCTTGTGGGGCAGAATTGAGCCACCGTTGACATACACCTCATCGGCGATGGTAACATCATCACCCAGGACGGTGACGTTCTCAAGACGAGCCCAGCGGCCGACGGAGCTATTCCATCCGACGATGGTCGACTTGATCCAGGCATGGTCCTTGACCTTGCAGTTCTCCATCACGACGCAGCGCTGAAGGCGAACACCATCACCAATCACAACATTGGGGCCGATGACAACGTTAGGGCCGATGCGGCAGTTGTTGCCAATCTTGGCAGAGGGGTCGACCATAACGTTTCCGCCGTGGACGAAAGGCTCGGAGTTGGACGCAAGCTTCTTGGGGTTGCGCTTGGCGAGCGAGCTGAGGTACAGGCAGGTACCAGTGAGGAAGTCCTTAGGTTGACCGACATCCATCCAGAAGCTTTCAAGGTCGAAAGAGTGGAGCTGGCCGTCCTTGCAGATCGCGGGGAAGGTCTCTTGCTCGATTGAGGTCGGGCGGAGCTCAATGCGGTTGAGGACACTGGGGTTCAGGATGTAGATACCGGCGTTGATACGGTTTCCAACAAACTCGACGGGCTTTTCGACGAAGCGGTCGATGCGGGAGGGGTGGTTAGGCTTGTGAACGACGACACCGTACTTTGAGGGCTCGTCAACCTTGGTGACGACAATGGTACCCTCATTACCGTGGGCCTTGTGGAAAGCAGCGAGTTCCTGGAAAGGATAGTCACAGATAACATCGGAGTTCAGAACGAAGAATGGGGTGTCGTCTTTGCCCAGGATCTTCTCCGCCAGCTTGAGCGGGCCAGCCGTGCCCAGCGGTTCCGACTCGACAGAGAACTCAATGTTCACACCATATTGCTCCTCGTACTTCTTGAGAGCGGCAACCATAACATCGGGGCGATAGTTGACAGCGAGTACGATATCGGTAACACCAGCAGCAGCCAAGCTCTCGACTTGATGCAGGATCATGGGCCGGTTGCCGAATTCGACGAGGGGCTTAGGGAGAGTGAGAGTCTAGGCGGGGAGAAAGGAATGCGTTAGCCCTGTTGACTCCAATTTCGAAAGAGGCATGGCGATGACCAGTCAAGAGACAAAAGCAATTGGAACGGTCAATGCGAATGAGAGGATCGACATGGACTCACCAAAGGACGCAGACGGGTACCGAACCCTCCAACAAGAATTAAAGCTAGGAGATGGTCAATGACGGGCGGGGAGAGAGGAGGAGGGGGGGGGGAGCATTGCATGGAGGGGTAAACATACCTTTCATGATGTGTGGGGTAAAAAGGGTGAGTCAAGAAAATAAAGATAGAATCAATCAGATCGATGGGGTGGAAGAAGATGACCTAAAGAACATCGGACCTTGATACTCTCAGGGAGGAAATAGCATTATTTAGGGAACACCTGGCCGTTGATGGATTTATTTTTGGGGGGGGGGAAAGACTGAGTGGGGCACGTGCGTGGCCGGTGATTGGGGAAGGCACACGTTTGCAGCGAAAAGGGGTGGGTGGAGCCATTATTGCCTTGTCCAGTACTCTCTACAGGGACACAGGTACACCTGTCGAGAGTATGGAGGATTCATGCGAGAGCAGTCCCAATGCATTCAATTGACCAAACATATCCCCGTTTGCATGGAGGGTATACAGTAGGTACTGAGTACGAGTACAGAGTAACTCCCTACTACACTGCGGGACTTCCCTCCTGCTGCAGTCGCCGCATCTCAGGCGGGTCATACTGGGTCCAGCCCCTAGCCCAACCCATCCCGGCCCCGATACATCCAATGCCGTCCTTGACTGGATCGGGACCGCCGAGTTGACTTCCCCGCGAACTTTCAAAAACGCCTCCGTGTGTACTCCCTGCGTACCCTCGTAGGTCAGACGATATCGCCCCTGAGGAGGGTGGCACTGGGTAGTCGTTGGTTTCGGTCTCGTGGAATTAAAAGGTCTCTCCTTCCGTCGCACCATCCGATCATCTGACTGAGACGGTGCCAACTGCGGGCCCCGAGAGATTGATTCCCTGCTCTCCTCCCCCTTTTATTATTGCGTGTCCGGAGGCAGCCGATGACCATGTGTTGTTGGCATTCCTGAATAGCGACCGCCTGCTTCATCCGTTGAACACACGAATTGTAGGACCCATTCACTTACCCGGCGAGCCTTCTGAAGCAAGAGCGGCTGATCGACAAGCAAGTCATGAAAGCTACCCGCATCCGTCATGTCCACCGGCCGCCGGTGTAAAAGGTCAACTTGGGTCATTCCTCCCCGTAAGGTTTGTCCATAAACCCGGTTCTGGAACGAACTTAACCCTACTGTCCGAAGTAAGATGATATCTTGAGGTCGAAGCATGGCCAGCGATCGCCCAAGGTGATCGATCTGCTTGGTCTTGGCAGCCACCGCGCTCCGCTCCGGGGGGAAGCCAAATGTTAACCCCAAACCCCGTCCTCGTTTCGTCTCCAACAACCATCTCAATGATGTCGAATTCGGTCTTCCACTGTCGTGTCACCACACGACGTGGTGGTTGTATCGCAATGATGCCCACGATTAGATTCACCGTCATAGTTTGCGGAACGATTGATTCGAGGTAGGTTGCTGTAGGAATGTCCTGCAGGTTGCAGATTGGACCACTCATTCTGAACGATGTTTGTAGTCTAGCTGCGTCGTCCTCTTCTTTCTCTCCTTGTGAACTGATAGCGGAGACCATGCTGTTCGAGGCTGTCCCGCTTTCCTGAGTAATGTATTCGAGTTCGGAGACATTGACCTCGGAGGCTTCGTGGACGACAAACGAATGATTGTAGAATTCTGATAAAACCGAATCTCCATCTGTTGATATGTCACCAGTGGTGACTAGTTGGTTCGTCGTCCAAAAGGTTGGGTCTTCTGGTCCGTAATAGAAAGTAGTATGAAAGTGGTCTGGCTGGCAGCTTGGCAGAGGTTGGAGAATTCTCCATTTCACAGAGGGCGGGTCTGGCCCAATCGATGTCTGCAGACAGTGGTTCAAGTTCAATTTGTGGTCAGGGATTTCGGGATCTTCAAATGGCGGCAGGGAGGTGTCAAGAAGTTCATCATTTTCCCAATCTAGACTGCTGGGCAATGGACTTCCCACTAGAAAGATCGTCTTTGGAGCCATTCCGCCTCAATGTACTCAGGAAAGCTCGGTGATAGTCCTTTAGGTTCAGTTCTTGAGTCTCTTGATGCTATGCAGGCCAAGTTTCTCGATTCATAATTTCATTGCTGAATGGAATCCGGGTGATTTGGGGGCTGTGAAGCTGAAGCTGGTGTCACGGTATGAAACCAACCAGCAGGCATTACAGACGAGAACTCTAGGTTGTCGGCAATGGTACTTTGCTGCAGAGTGGTTGGTGTTTCAACTAAACTTGGAAGTTCAAGCTCTGAGGAGGACTCGGGACTCGGAGGTTCAAACTTGGAACCGAACCATGGGCCACCGTATTCGGTATGGAGTGTCTAGACTCGGAGCCAACCTTGGAAGTTTATATAGAGGTAGTAGTACCTATGCAAGAAAATCAGAAAGCTCAACATATCACAAGGAATTCAATGTTCCAGCCTAGTATCCAGGTACAAATTTATTGATGCTTCTATTGCTCTCATATAGGCAAATGATTAAATAAGTCTAGGAAAGCTGGCTGGTAACATGCTCACTAATAGCTGAACCGGCCCTTCCGCCAAATGTTATACACCACGTGATCTAAGGATATTCAGACCGCCCAAAGTGGCAACCGACATTCGCCGCAGCAGCGGAGTAAAAGCCATCGTCACCGTTCCCCCTCCCCTTCGCCTCTACTTTTCAATCAGAGATAGCCGTTGGCTGAACCTAAAGACATCTGTTTTTGTTCATTCCCCTCGGTCATCATACTATTCCCCCCGAAGAGCAGATTCTTCCTTCTCACGCGGCCAAGCGCCGCCGTTCATCGGACAACTATGGCCTTCCAAGGCCTTCCCCGGCCGGTGCGAATCATCCTGACCTCCTCTCCACCATCTGGATCCCCATCACTAACCTGTGCGACGATGATTTAGAATGTCACTGCTGTGACATCCGATCTCTGGCCCTCCATGTCTAGTCTTTTCACGGCTTCCTTGAAGCGGTCCGGCCGAACTCCGTCTCTCGCCCGCGCTTTCGCAGTCCCGGCCACTCGTTCCATTTCGACAGTGTCACCCTTCCGCTTCAAATCGTTACAGACCGCACCAAAACCACAAGGTCTGTCACAGCTCCAACAACAGAGGTTCATATTTGGAGGCTCTTCGCAGAATCTACTGGCACAGAAGGAGAAGACCGCGAACAACAATCCGAATAGCGCCAATGCCCAGAATGCCTTCTACCAAGCTCTTCTGCGTGCAAACATGCCCGCGATCGTCGTGGAAAGATATCGAACCGCTCAATTCGCAAGCAACTCTACAACAGAGGCCATCTTCACTCAAGCTCTGCAGCGCGTCGGTGGTGCTGAGGCCATCGGTTTTGGAGCGCAGACCCAGGGTCTCAAGTCTGAACAGCTTCAGGCCGTTGGACAGGCTGTTGCTGCGCAGAACGGGGGTGGTCAAATTGGAATGGCAACTCGGCAAACTGGCACTGGCGCGAAGGAGGCCCCTCTCTACGTTGTAGTGGATGAGTCTCTGAGCAGCGTGGTTTTCCGCTGGGTTAAATTTCTTTTGATCTTTGGATTTTTCAGCTATCTCTCCCTCGTTGTGGTTACCGTCTTGATCGAGACTACCGGTGTTATGAAGAACCTTCGCGGCACACAGACCAACGAAGCCCAGCCTCAGCAGCAAACTGTGCGGTTCAGTGACGTTCACGGTTGTGACGAGGCCAAGGATGAGCTCCAGGAGCTCGTCGAGTTTCTTCTCAACCCCGAGCGTTTCTCATCCCTGGGTGGTAAGCTCCCCAAGGGTGTTCTTCTGGTTGGTCCTCCTGGTACTGGTAAAACCCTGCTCGCCCGTGCTGTCGCGGGAGAAGCCGGTGTCCCGTTTTTCTACATGTCTGGCTCCGAATTCGATGAGGTCTACGTCGGTGTTGGCGCTAAGCGTGTCCGCGAACTCTTCAGTCAAGCCCGTGGCAAATCCCCCGCCATCATCTTCATTGATGAGCTGGATGCCATAGGTGCGAAGAGGAATGAGCGTGATGCTGCCTATGTCAAGCAAACCCTCAACCAGCTGCTCACCGAGCTTGATGGCTTCTCTCAGAGCAGCGGTGTTATCATTCTCGGCGCTACCAACTACCCCCAACTGCTCGACAAGGCATTGACCCGACCTGGTCGATTCGACCGCAAGGTCACTGTCGGTCTTCCTGACGTCCGCGGCCGTATGGATATTCTTCGACACCACATGAAGGATGTTCAGATCGGCACTGATATCGATCTTGCTGTTATCGCCCGTGGCACTCCCGGTTTCTCTGGTGCAGACCTTGAGAATCTTGTCAACCAGGCTGCAATCCACGCCAGTCGTGATCGCAAAACTAAGGTCGGCTCTTTCGACTTCGACTGGGCCAAGGACAAGATCATGATGGGTGCTGAGGCTAGGAGCCGCATCATTCAAGATAAGGATAAGCTGTCGACTGCTTACCACGAAGCCGGCCATGCTCTTGTTTCCTACTTCTCGCCTTCCTCTACCCCCCCTGTATAAGATTACTATCGTCCCTCGTGGCATGGCTCTTGGTTTGACTCATTTCCTGCCGGAAATGGATGCCGTCTCGCGTAATTATTCCGAGTTCCTGTCTGATATTGCTGTTGCTATGGGTGGCCGGGCTGCCGAGGAGTTGATCTATGGCCCGGAGAATGTGTCGAGTGGTATTTCTGGAGTGAGTTTTCCATATGTTCTTTCCTCAAAAATCCACCAATAGTACTAATAATTTTCATAGGACATCCAACAAGCGACCGAGACAGCTTTCACCCTGATTACACGTTTTGGATACTCCAAGAAGCTCGGCAACGTTGACCTATCCAGCAACTATGACAGTCTTTCCTCCGAAACGAAGCAGGAGATCGAGGGCGAAGTCCGTCGCCTCGTCGAGGAGGCACGGGATAAGGCCACCAAAATTCTGACTGAGAAGCGCGATGAACTCGAAATCCTGACCAAGGCTCTGATCGAGTACGAAACCCTCACCAAGGACGAGATGGAGAAGGTTCTTAAGGGAGAGAAGCTCGAGGGCAAGCTTTTGGCGTCCCCCAGTGCGCCGCTAAAGTTGCCAGAGGCTCTCCAGGTCCCTAACCTGAACCCCACTGGGACTGAGCAACCGCCCACAGCGGCGGACTAAGCTCATATCCATCCCGAGTCTTTATTTCATTTTCATTTCTGCTCTGCGTTTTGTGTCTGATTAGGAACGGGTCAGTTGTTCCCTCATTGTGCATTCCCGGATCGTTCGGGCGTCTCTACTGAAAATACCATTTTTTATCCCTTTCCCGCTCCGCTCCCCATCTTTGTACCTTTTTTCCTTGTGTGTGTTTCTCCCTTTTTGCTCTCCTTGACCCCATTTTGTATTGTTGTGTATATACACACTCTGTATGCCTACTACACCTGCACGCAAATACTATCATTTGTGCTCAGTATTTACCACTCAACCGCCAAACTGTAAAGCCTGCATCGCTACCGCTACCGCTATCGAAACTGTCTTATTTCAAGCCTTCATTAGGCAATAATCAAGACTGTTGATGTCTAGTACTCTCCTATGCCTTCAAGCTTGATTCCGAAACTTCCGTCTCCTTGATAGAGCCCCCCCACAGTCCCCACTAAGTGATGTCATAAACCTCTGGCTGCCGCGACCCCTCAATTGATGCCTGGTTCAACATACCCACGATGCAGGGCAGAGAGTAATCACATCATACTAGTCCTAAACATTGGCATGATGCAGAGGTGTTGTAATCTCTGAGTCCGAGTCTGCGTTAGAGGTGGAGCCAGTCAAAATTCGCTTTCGGTGAACCTGATGGTGGAACTAAAGGTTTTACAAGGTTGTTAGGCCAGTTACATTTGTAATGAAGAATTAGGTGATTTGGAATTTTTTTAATTCATTTTCTCCTTTGTTTCTAGTATATATACATATTATATATATATAAAGAACAGAAGATTGTTTCCATAAGAATCCGGATGGTATTATGTACACAAGATAAAAATGCATCGTCGACGCTTGGTCGACAGTCCACCGCCAAAGAACGCGAAGAAAAGAAGAATTCGAGGCCAAGGGAGTAGAAAGAAAAAAGGACGGAAAAGGTGAAGAGGTGAAATGATCAAGAACCCAGCTCACTCCGAAAAGTAGAGCTGGAGAAATGTAAAACACAACCGTCGTCAAGGTCATGAGGCGGGTATGTAGCGCAGCCTCCCAAGTCGCTACGCCAATCGGCGCACCTATTAGGATAGCGAGGCTATCTAAGAAGTCTCTAAATATGTATAGTGGAAGATGAGGGTGAATGTTTGTCCCGGTGCGCACTCGCAGGGATTGGAAAAGGTGAAGGTCACAGCCGAGGAATCCGAACGGAGGGGGTGTAGAATGAAAGGCCATAGAGGATGATGGGTGGATGAATGGGTGGGTTTTCGGTCCTCGTTTGAATGACAGACCTCCGGGGAGGATGGCAGACCGGCTCGTGGTCGTATCCCGTAGGTATAATAGGTAGGAAGGGTAGGGAAGTGGATATGGCTGGTGCGCGCTTTAAATGTCGTTCTCGAATAGCTCTTTTTGACGGTCAAAGTCGTCGTCGTTGTCGTCGTCGTCGTCCGACTCAGGCTGGTCGTTCATCCAGCCTCGAGACATCTCAACGGCCTTGGACCACTTCGAGTACATGCGTGTACTGGCCTTCGGCGAGATATGTGGGGTGAAGGTGGCGCGGTTGGCGCGGTTCATATGCTTGAGATCGGAGAAATCTTTCCACACATCGATGGCGAAAGCTGCGGCAATAGCGGCGCCGAGTGCAGTGGTTTCGTGCATAGCGGGGCGCTCGACGGGGATTTGGATGATATCGGATTGGGTCTAGTAGAGAAGGAGAACCGTCAGTATTCGAAAATCCAGTCAGATAATGCAAAGGAAATGAGTTCTTCTTACCTGCATGCAAATGTCGGAATTACTCATGCCACCGTCCACGGCCAACTCTGTTAATTTCTTGCCACTGTCCATCTCCATGGCGTCCAATATAGCCTTGGTCTGGAAGCAGGCGGCTTCCATAGTTGCGCGGGCAATGTGACCACGCTGAGTGTGGTGGGTAATGCCCCCTATAGAACGGTCAGTTGGTTCCACTTAGACAAGGTCACAGGAGTATAGATACTTACAAATAGTTCCTTGAGCATCATCAATCCAGTAAGGGGCGAAAAGACCACTGAATGCAGTGACGAAAATACAACCTCCGCTGTCCGGGACAGTAGCAGCCAGGTCGCTGACCTTACGGGAATCGCGGAAGAAACCCATGTTGTTCATTAAGAAAGATACACCACTTCCTGCCACGGCAACACTGCCTTCCAGGGCATACACGGGTTTGCGATCCCGGCCCAGCTGGAATCCAACCGTGCCGAGCAGGCCATGCTTGGAGATGACGGGCTTTTCGCCCACGTTGTAGAGAAGGAAACAACCGGTACCATAGGTGTTCTTGGCGCTTCCTGGGGTGAAAGCACAGTGGCCGACCAGGGCGGAGGCTTGGTCACCCAGACAGCTGGTGATGCGGGTTCCTTCCAGGGGACCCTCGTAGACTTCACCGAAACCTTCCTTGTCGGCGGAGGGCATGATTTCGGGAAGGCGGATTTTCTTGGGATCAATATCGAAGAATTTCAGAAGGGTATCGTCATATTTGAGAGTTTCGAGGTTCATAAACATGGTTCGCGAGGCGTTTGTGACATCGGTGACATGGCGTTTATTCTGGACCCCGCCGTTCAGGTTATAGAGGAGCCACGAGTCGACCGTACCAAAGGCGGCGCGGCCATCGTCATAGGCTGATCGGACATCCGGGAGGTTGTCCAGCATCCAGCGTAAGGTTACGGAAGAGGGGTATGTGGAGAGGGGCAGACCGCACAGGTTAACCAGGTTATCGGCCCCGGGTTTCTCCTTCAGTTCGCGCACTAAGTTCATGGTACGGGTATCAGTCCAAGTGATGGCGTTATGCAAGGGTTCACCAGTTTCCCAATCCCAGACCAGGACGGTCTCTCGTTGAGTGGTGATGCCGATGGCTTCGACGTCGGATCGTGAATGGCCCAATGCTAGGAAAGATTTCATGGCCTCTTCCATACAGATGAAAACCGACTCCACCAACTCGTAGGGATCTTGTTCGTGCCATCTGTCAAACAGCAAAAATATTGTTAATTGGGCTGTGCTAAGCAGTCATTTGCAGTGTGGCGTGTTTGCTTGCTGGTTGAGCTAGATGGAAGGGAGGGGTTGAGAGAGTGGGAGTGGGGGGGGAGGGAGGGGAGGGGGAGGCAAAACCTACCCAGGATGTTCATGAATCTGGCGAAACTCGGTTTGATATTTGGCGATGGGCACCCCCGTGCAGTCGAAGATAATAAAGCGAGTACTAGTGGTACCCTGATCAATAGTACCGATGAAGCGTTCCTTCAGGTCATCCCCGCGTCGCTCTTCGTCCTGCAAGATAGCGCGTTCACCATCATCGTTCTCTTCGGGTGCTGTAACCACCTCGATTTCGCGACCGTCGATCTCGTCAATGTCGTTCGCGGGCTCGGAGTCGCCATCCACACTGGACTCGTCAAACTCGAAGAACGGGTTGCGCATTTTTTCTTCTGTGTGATGTGGTGGTGGTGGTTGTGATGGTGGTGGATGGAGAGGGGGGGGGGGGGAGGCGGATGTGGGGGTGAAGAGAGAAGTTGAATATATTACGCGGAGAGAGAGGCAGAAAGAGAGAGAGCGAGAGGGAGAGGGAGAGGGAGAGGGAGAGAGAAAATGAATCTACAAGTGGCGGAGAGAGTAACTCTCAAGTTGCCCCAAGTCCACAGGGCCAAGGCAGGGCAAGAGTGGAGCGCGTTGACGTACGAGGGGCGAAGGCAAAAAGAGAGCTCTCTCTCTCTCATTTGGGTCTCTCCAGGTTGACCTACCTTTTTATCCAACAAAGTGGATCGACATTTGAACGCGAGTGGGGGGTCCCCCAAATCCGGTTCGGGGGGGGGTTTTTTTTCTGATCAGAAGACCTCATCACTCCCCACTTGGCCGTGCATCATTTGTGGTGCATCATCCTTTTTTTCTTTTCTTTTTTCCGTTTCTATTTTCATCTATCGGAATTCTTATCTGCGGTATGTATACTCCGTAGGGTACTATACAGATATCTCAGATCCTGGATGGGTATCTTGCGGAGTCCGGAGTACCACTACTAGTACTAGTAGTAATCCCCCCGCCTATAATTGCCCTCTATTGCACGGAGTATATATTGAAGTATAACCACCACGGTATACTGCCAGTGCCCCTAACCACTGACAGGTAACTCTCCTCTGTGAACTCCCACCCAATGCAATTGTCCCCTTAATCAATTCTCTGGAAGCAGTGGATATCTATCTGCCCCGTCGATCGCACACATGACACGATCCATTTTTCCCCTGCGGTCCCTTTAGTTGGTTCTAGACCCCCCTTTTTTCCGATGGCTGTTTCTTTTCCTTCTATCGAACGAGCTAGTCCCCTCTGGGTCACCTTGCGCTACTCATCTGATTCATGGAGAATTCATGGAGAAATGCGGAACAATTGTTGGCTGAAGAGGCTGGAGACTGGAGATTGGAGGTGGGAGGGGAAACGAAACGAACTACCCGGGTAGAATAAAAACCTTGGAATCAAAAGAGAAACCACTCTAGTCGCAGCCAAGAACAACCCTCGAAGCCTTCTTCTGCCCCTGCCCACCCCCTTCGAACCCACTTTACGCCTCCATAAATCAATTTTTTCTCCAAGACGGTGGAAGTCTGGGAAGTCTGGGCAGGCATGCCCCGGCCCGAGTCAACAGCCACGATGGCTCTATAGATAGACTCGGATTCCAACCAGATCCCCCGGGTGGTGACGTCTTAGCCTTAGTCCTGATATTAGATGTAATTGAAACCTTCGATCCAACACTCTGGAAAGGCTAAAAAGAACCGGTTCTCCCCCCAAGCCCAAGACCAAGACCAAGACCAAGACCAAGATCCTAAGCCCCCCCTCGCACCGCGGGGAAAAGGGAACCGTCGCCTGCCAGGGACGGGGACGTGCACTGGGAGCAGATCACGCGAGGAGTGGGCGACGATCCGACGGGAATCTGGCGCGTACGAGTACAGAGTACTCCGTACAGCAGGGCCTCTATCGCAACCAGAGAATGAAGAGGGGCCCGTTATGCACCAATTTTAACCAGTCAATGGGCCACCCATTTTTAAAGCCCTCGCTCTACCTTCCTTCCGTTGCCAGCCACACCCAAGGGTTGACACGCTAGATCCGCCCAGATCAACTAGATTGGGTTTCCATTTGCCCCCCCTTCTCCCCTCCTTCCCCCCCCCCTCTCCGTACTCTGGCTTCCCTTTGGTAATGCAGGTGACCCCGTGGATTCGGATTCGCGGAAGACGGGAGGATAACCTTGGTTTTAAGCTAAAAGCCGAGCCGATCAACGTAAACGTAAAAATTTGCTAGCTTAAAAAAAATTGAGAGATTAGCTGCTACGTCCAGGCACACTACTCGTACAGTACACACGGCTCTTGGACCCGGGAGTCGGGGATCGTCGTTGGCAACCGGCTTCGGTCCTTGCAAACTTGAATGGGGACCCGATCGGTCACGGCAACCCGCTTTGCTTTTTTGGTTCCCCCTCAAGTCAAGTTGATTTCTTTCAAGTGCCCAGGTGCCAGTGGGAGTACGAGTATGCTTTTGGCAGCCTAATCCGGGTTAGTACCATTTGGCCTGCCGCACGTGGGTACACTCGTCAATCTGGCCCATTGACTTTGCAGCTTTTTATAATTAGAACTTGAACGTCATGTCATGTCAATGTCATGTCCGGTCATTTCAGGAAAGACAAATGGAAACATATATTTTCGAAAGTCTTTTTGGGACACTCCAATTCAAACAAAGGAAATAAGCAAGCTTTCAGCCCTAGTGCGTTCTGCGTATATTCTACATGAAATCACGGGGAATGCAAAAATCGAGAGAGAACACGGGGGCTCCCACCAATCAGCCCCTCCCCTTCAACACAACTTCAAAACATGGTTTCGTCCGAATTTACTCCGAGTCCTCGACCTCAGCCTTGCGGCGGGCATCGGCCTCCTCCTTCTCCTTCTTCTGCAGGAAGAGCAGAGCCTTGACCTTGTCCGAGATGGTGTGTTCGGTGCTGATGGTCGACTGGATCTGCTCACGGCCGATCAGGGTGGCGACGATGGAGGCACCGACAACAAAGGTCAGGACGAAACGGTACATGCCGTACCAGTGGGGAGCACGGCCAACGGCGGCAGCGCGGGCGTCGTTGTAGTACAGGAAGGTGAAGGCAAGGAACTGGGTGATCAGGGCGTACTCAGTGGGGAACAGCAGAGTAGGCCAGGCCACGGCAGGAGCGATCACACCGGCGGCGTAACGGCGATAACCGAACTTGCCGCCGTAGCCAGCCCACTCAAGACCCCAGTGGATGGCACCAAGGAAGGAAAGGATCTATAAGAGAGTTTAGCGGGTGGGGATCTCCAAATGTGATGCTGACGTCAAGATATCTACTTACAACGGCACCGTAGGTGACCTGGAGGGGCTCGATCATGTGCAGGAGCAGCTCAGCGCTCTGACCGGAGAAGATCAGTCCATCGCCGAGGGAAGCGGCGCGGTTGATCTCATAGGAGAGGTAGACAGTCTCCAGAGAGGTGGCCACGTAGGGGATGACACCGGCCATACCGAGGTAGAGAGCCTCCTTAGGGACCTCAGCCAGGCTGAAAGTATCCTTGATGACTTTCTACAATGAGAATTTCTAGGTCAGTCTCTGCTCCGAGGCAATTGATTGAAGAAATGAACGCATGAGGTTAACGTACAGCCTCTGACTTCATACCGGCCATCATGTCGACATCATCGTCATCCTATATCGGAGGTTAGTCAATTGATCAGTGGCATGCCGCGCGGGATCGCGCAGGAGTCTTGAAGCATCTCCTACCTTGCTGGAAGACGAGGCGTGGCGAACAAGGGCGGTGGTGACGGGCTTGTGAGCAGCGAGCGCGAAGTTGGACTTGACGGACGGGCGGACCGCATAGCGGGCGGACGAGGTCAGCTGGGCCTTGAAGACCGGGTTGACCATGGTCGAGCGAGCCACGGAGGCATTGGAGCTCGAGATAGCCCGGAGCATAGAGCGGGCGGCGGTGGTACGGTACAGCATGGCGGGGGATGGAGGAAGAAAGAAGCTTTTCGTGTGCAGTCGGGTTAGCAAGCCGCGCGGGAACGAAAAGCCTCGGGTATGGCTAGATAGGCTAGTCAACTCACCCAATTGGCCTAAAAAGAAGCTGAAGAAGAGGGTGAAGAGTGGAGATGAGGGTGTTAACCCAGAAAGAGACTCGAGATCGAAGTCGGGGAGGCCGTAGGTTTCCGAGACGGGGAGCAAATAGGAATATCCAGAAATGAAGTGACTTGGGGAGGTGCCCGGCATTCGGGTGGGCCACAGGGACCTGAATGGCAGTTTCCCGCTGGCGGCAACTTGACACCTGAGGCAGGAACGATGGAATTTCCCCCCAGATGCCGTGAGAAACACGTGACTGCAATAGTTCAGTGCAGTTCCAAGCTGCACGGGACTGATGTCACTCTGCGTGCACACCAGTAAACAAGCGTATACTCGGGTACAATACAGGAGGGGGTTGGACATTACGGAGGAGATGAATATGCTAAGGATCGATTGTTATGGTTTTCTCTAAATTTCTAATGTTATTTTTTACTGCCAGTATAACGAGGTCTCCATTTCCTGTAAATATTTGTATTCTTTATGGTAGCTACAATGGTTAGAGTTGGAATACACTCCCAGGTTCATTCTTGGCAGTCACGGGAGTGCTTTCCTCCCGCCCCTCGTACTGCAGCTTTACCCCCCCCGTACACGCCGCCTTTGCGTAATAGATAACCAAGTGGACGGCCCTTCTTGAACCACGCAATCAGGGCCATTGGCTTGGCTTCCATACCCAACATTTACTTGCGATCCTCTAGGTCGCTTCCTCAACACCCTCCCGTCATTCTCACAACACCCTCACACATCCTGGACCCTAGCTTCTTCGCTCAGCTTGAAGGTGGTTTCTCCGCCTCGATATCGCGTGCGGCCTACCCTGTTTGGATGGCTTAAATTACTTCGATTCGATCAGAAAGAAGTCCTGGGGTATTGTGAGAGCTTACCTTGTCCCCTTCAACTAGCCTCATTGAATCGCATCACTAATAGGCCTGTCATTCAAGAGTTAAGATCGCCTTTCATTAATCTCGATCCACCCTATTTAACGACATCATTACCGGCCATCGAGCCCAACCACCTGGCCCGGTCGACGGCCCCATCTAGCAATCATGTTGGAAGGTGTAGTTGCCAATCTGCTCAACCGCTTTCTGGGCATGTACGTGAAGAACTTCGACGCGACACAGCTTAACATTGGAATCTGGTCGGGCGATGTCAAACTACGGAACCTGGAACTGCGCCGGGAAGCACTGGATCAACTACGCTTGCCCTTGAACGTTGTGGAGGGTCACCTCGGACAACTCACATTATCGATTCCATGGTCAAATCTGCGGGGTAAACCTGTCAAGGTCGACATCGAAGATGTCTTCCTGCTCGCAGCCCCAAAGGAGGATGCGGAATACGATGCTTCAGAAGAAGACAGGCGGGCGCATGCCTTGAAGATGGAACGGATCGAAAGCGCCGAAATTCTGCGCGACCGCAATGCCGAGGGTATGAGCCAAGAGGAGCAAAGACGAAACCAAAGCTTTACCCAAAGCATGGTGACGGCAGTCGTCGACAACCTGCAGATCTCGATTAAGAACGTCCATTTTCGATACGAGGATTCTATCGCCTGTCCTGGCCATCCGTTTGCTGTGGGACTGACTTTGAAGGAATTGAGTGCTGTCAGCACTGACTCCGAGTGGAACCCTACCTTTATCCAATCCACCTCCGATACAACACACAAGCTAGCCGTGCTCGGTGCCTTATCAGTGTACTGGAATACAGACGCAACCCTGTTGGGAACTGGAAGAGGTTCCGATATTGGCGCTGAAGCTCAAGGAATCAGCCATGACGACTTGATGACAAAATTGCGCGACGCCATCGACAATGGCGACGGAAATCAATACATGCTTCGTCCCGTTAGCGGTCGAGCTGGACTGGAGATGGACAAGTCGGGGAAATATGACCGTCCTGCCATGAAAGCGCGATTGCTATTTGATGAGTTGGGCTTTGTTCTGGACGACAACCAGTACCGCGATGCTTTGATGCTGGTAGACCTCTTCCATTACTTCATCCGCCATCAGGAGTATAAACGATTCCAACCCAAATGCACGGTCAAGGAAGATCCTCGTGCCTGGATGAAGTTTGCTGGAGATGCAGTTCTCAGTAAGATTCATGACCGCAATCGGCGATGGACCTGGGATTACGTGAAGGAGCGCAGAGATGATCGTATCGCGTACATCAAATTGTTCAAGAAGAAGAAAAGAGAAGAGACATTCACTCCAGAAGAAACAGAAGAGCTCGACAAGCTAGAATGGAAGCATAACTATGAGGATATTCGATTCTGGCGATCGCTGGCTCGCAACCAGCTTCGCAAAGAGAACGTCGGCATCAAGAAGCCCGCCCAGCAGCAGAGCTGGGGCGAGTGGATCTGGGGCAGCAAGAAAGAAGAGTCTGAGGAAACCGCCATGACCGACGAACAGCGACAGGAGCTATATAACGCCATTGATTGGGACGAGAAGAAGGCCCTATCCGAAAGTGTCGATGTTCCCAGGGAATGGGCCAAGCTGCAAATAAATTGGAGTCTTCGTGCTGGTAGCTTTACATTAAAGCAAGATCCGCATGGCGCTGCAAATGAAGTTATGAAACTTGTTTTCGACAATTTCCGCGCGAAGGCTCTTCAGCGACCGGACTCATATCTGCTTGATCTTGATCTTGGTGGATTGAAGATGTATGATGGCACCACTGCCGGGACTCTTTATCCGCAGATAGTCAAGGTCAAGGACTCAATTCCCGAGCCGAAAAAGGCCTTGGAGCAGGATAACGACGACGACGATGACGATCTTGCCTCCCAAGCCAGCGCAGATGACCTGGAAGACGAAGACAGCCTGTTCCATTTGCAACTGGAGAAAAATCCCCTCGAAAGTGACGCAGACTCAGCGGTCAAGGTTAAGCTGAAGAGTATTGAGGTCATCTACAACCCGCGATTCCTCGTGGGAATTGTCAAATTCTTTGAACCACCCGAGCGGCATATGGAGTCAATTGGAGCGCTTCTGGACACTGCTGGAGCTACAGTTGAAGGTCTGCGGCAGCAAACTCGAGCAGGTTTAGAGTTTGCACTGCAAGAACACAAAAAGGTTGATGCACAATTCGATGTGCACGCGCCTTTGATCATCGTGCCCGAGAGTATCACACAGGAAAGCTCGCTGTGTCTCATCATAGACGCTGGTCATGCAAGTGTCAACAGCGAACTTGTCGACCGACAGGCCATACGAGAACTCCAATCCAAGCAGAAAAAGCAATACGAAGAGGAAGATTATAAGCAACTTGAACACTTGCTATACGATCGCTTCCTTATCAAACTCGATTCCACTCAAGTACTGATCGGTCCTGGTGTGGAAGCAACAAAAGCACAGCTTACCTCCGCCGTCGAGTCCAAAAATTTCCACATTATTGATCGAATCAATGTCGACTTCGTTCTCGAAATGTGCATTGTTCCAAAGGTTACGCAACTCACCCGGACGCGCATCTCCGGAAACCTGCCGGAGCTGCATGCTTCCATGTCTGACACCAAATACAAGGGGCTGATGAAGTTGATCGATATCGCGATTCCGCAATTTGACAACGCCAGCAGCTCTTCGGGTCCGGCAGAAGCGAAAACCAAGGAGGAAGCGGCAATCGCTACTCGGGCTAGAGCAGCTTCATTCCTACCCCCGGCGCAACGGGACCTACCTGTTGTCGATGATGAGGATGAACATGAAGGTGACGCAGAGCATCATAAGAAGAGCCTTGATACACAGAACAATATTCATCGCCGGGATTTTGAATTCAAGTTTAACGTTGGTCGTCTTCGTGGCTCGCTATTCCGGGCAGACTCGCAAGACCCACTCAAAGACAAATTGCTGGTGGAACTGGTTGCTGAGGGCTTCGAGCTTGACTTCTACATGCGTCCCTATGATATGGTAGCCGAGGTCATTCTCAAGTCCCTGAGTGTTGATGATTACATCGAAGAAAACCCACTGCCAGAGTTCAAGCGGATCATTTCATCCAAGGGATTCAATGCGGATGAAGATAAAGATCTTTTCCATTTGAAGATGGTCCGTGTGAAACCCGAATCCCCAGAATTCGAGTCAACCTACGAAGGAGTCGCCATGAACCTCGATATCTCCGTCTCGACCATTAACCTTGTGGTGACGAGAAAAACGCTGCTTACCCTTCTGGATTTCATTCTTCTTACGTTCACGAATCCTGAACAGCCAATCGATCAGGATCCACAGTCGGAGAAGGTCTTACAGGAAGCAGAAAATGAGCAGGAAACACCACAGCCAGCCGGGAAGATTCGTATCAAGTCTAACTTGAAGAGTATTGCTCTCATTCTTAACAATGACGGTGTTCGCCTTGCAACCTTGAGTCTCAACACCGCTGATGTCGGAATCTTCCTCGTTGGTCGTGCTATGACCATACAGTCCCGAATTGGCAGCTTGACTTTGGTTGATGACGTTAACCTGGGTGCTTCAGAAGATTCAGATGTCCGACGTCTCTTGACAATTGAGGGTGACAATTTCGCTGATTTCAAATATGAGACGTTTGACCCTGAGAGCGACACTTACCCAGGCTACGATTCCGAGGTCTATCTGCGGTCAGGGTCAATCAAGATCAATTTCCTGGAAGAGCCGTATCGAAAAATTATCAATTTCCTAGTCAAGTTTGGTAAAATGCAGGCAATTTTCAACGCTGCTCGACAGGCTGCTGCGAACCAAGCGAACCAGCTCCAGGAGAATGCTTCACGTATGCGTCTAGACATCGTCATCAAGACTCCCATTGTTGTTTTCCCCAGAGTGATGACTGACGACCGACCGCGGGACACCATCACTGCCCACCTTGGTGAGATTTACGCCAAGAACGAGTTTGTTCCAATGGACGAGTCCAAAGACAGCCCGGCCGTTAACGTGATCTCCACCGGCGTTCGCAAC